AATGGGGATAAAGTATATATCAAATAAGATAGGCTATGTGATGACAGTTACTAAATAGGAGGAATGAGCACATGGAGGGTAAATACACTATTCTCTATTTTTGCATATGCTTGAAATGTCTGTCAGTGAAGAACATTTAAAAATAAATAAATATAAAAGGGATCTCCAGGCAAATATTGTGTTCTCTGAAGGGGAAGAGAGGAAAAAAGGGATAGAAGCAATATGTGAAAAAATACTGGCTGAAAATTTTTCAAAACAGATGAAAAGCAATAAAACACAAAGATCTGGAGCTTTTGTTTCTTCTAAGAGTGACCAGATTTCCCTCTTGCATGAAACAACTGAAAAATGGAGAACATCTAAGAAACACTGGTTTCTAAGATAGTGGTATCAGGTAACAAAGGACAGTGCTCTTTGAGAAACAGGAGAGAAATAAAATGAGCCTTATGGTTGCTCCAGCCTACTGTCCGTAAAATTTCCTGGCCTCTCTGTAGGGAAAGTGAACCCAAGAGGAACACTAAAGACCCCTGAGTTAAGGAAATAGAGCTGAGGTCCTGGGGAAACCAAGGCAGTTGTAGTTCATAGGACAGAGTGCCAGAGAGGAGAGAACCTCACAGAAAGAACTCTGGAATCTGCAGAAGATCTCCTTCAAGTAATCCCCTGTGAACAGATCAATGCCTATGTGTGAGGAAACTATCTGAGGTCACGGAAAGAACCAAGCCAGTTCACTGTCAAACTAAAAAGCCTCATGATTCATGGAGCATTGGGCGGGATACTCAAAAGCCTTGCCTCAGTAGTGGGGAATAATTAGCTCTAGATGGAACACTGCTCTGCTTTACTAGAAGAAAATCTTAAAAGCTAAATCAGAAAAGATCACATTGTTTCCAAGTAAAGTAGCTGGGTCCCAAAGTAAAGTCCAAGAATATTTACATGAATACAAAAATATCCAGCACCTACTAAGGTAAGATTCATAATTGCACAAATCAAAAATTACCAGGCATATACTTATTACAATGTTACATGTCAAATTATATCTCAATAAAAAAGTATTAGGCATATGAACAAGCAGGAAAATGAGAAGTTATTATGACTGTATTCTCTATGTTCAAAAAGTAGCGATATTAACATTATAGAAAAGATACAAACTAAACTACTAGGGATGAAAACTACAAAAATTATAATGTATGCAATGAAAAATACACTGACATGTTATTATTAATGGTACTTTACACACTACAGAAGAAAAAATCAGTAAACTTGAAGACGTAACAATAGAAAATATTCAAAATGATATATGGAAAAGGAAAAAAGAATTTAAAAAAATTAACATCAGAGCATCAGAGAGCTGTGAGACAACTTCAACTGGCCCAACATACGTGTAACTGGAGCTCCCAGAGGAGAGGGCTGGGACAGAAAAATGTTTGAAGAATAGTTGCTGACAAATTTCAAAATATGCTGAAAACCAGAAGCCCACAATTCTTAGAAGTTCCAAGCAGCACAGAACAAGAAACATGAAGAAAACTACAATAATACCACTTTAAGTGGGACTGTAAACTGATCTAAGTACTTCAGAAAGCTTTTGGGCAGCTGTTGTATAAAGCTGAACTTATGTCAATAACCTATTTCTGGATAGAAGTGCATGCACATGTGCACCACCTGATAAGTACACGAGTGTTCACTGCAGTATTATTTATAACAACCAAAAAAGCTAGAAACAACCCAATGTCTAACATAGAATACAGAAATGAAAAGAAATGAAAAATATGCACAAGATGAAGGAATCTCACAAACATACTATTGCTCAAAAGAAGTCAGCCCCCAAATAGTATTATCTGATTACACTTACATAAAATTTTAAAAAGTCAAACTAATTTAGAAGTCAGAATAGTGATTGTTTCGTGGAAGAGAAAGGGTAGCGATTGGAAACAGGCACCATGTGGGATTCTGAGGAGCTGGTAATTTTCAGTCTTTTAATCTGGCTGGTGGTTTCATGGCTCTATTTCATCAGTGATAATTAGTCAAGTTGTACAGTTTGATGTGTGTAATTTTCTGTATGTATGTTTATAAAATTTAAAAATGAAAATAAATATATTTCACCACATTAACAGAAGGGAGAAAAATCATACAATCATCCCAATAGATATAGAAGAATAATCTGATAAACTTTAATAATTCATAATAAAAACTCTCAGAAAACAAACTAGATAAGAACTTCCCTAATATGATTAATAGTATTCATAAAACACAGCAAACACTTATACTTAATGATTAAATAGGACTTTTTTTTTTAAGCTTGAGAGCCAGCAAGGTGAACCACTGTAGCTACTTCTATTCAGCATTAACTCTACTGGTGATCCCTAACCAGTGTACTGTATCAGCCAGTGTTCCAACAGGAGATGGATGGCACTTTCAAAATAGAAAAAATTCAATGGGAGTTTATTTTAAAAAGGGGTTATTTAAAAATAATTAGGCATAAGGTAGTCACAGGAGATAATGCAATAATCCAGAGCTGGTAAAAGTAGAACTAACCTTAGGAGTGAAGGTCAAGAGGCAGGGAAATTACTATAATCCAGAAGTGAAGATTTATGTGAAGTAAGATGCCTTAAGAGAAGCAGTGACTTCCAGACAACTCGAGACAGACAGATTATGGAGAAAAGGACAGGGAAATAAAACTGACCCCATCCTCTTTCCTCCTTCCAGGCTTCCTCCAGGGTTTCCCACTGGCTTAACCCAACTGGGAGTCAGAAGAAATAGAACTTACTGATCTAGTCCAGATTAGTTTCTTTGCAGGATAAGGAAGAGGGGAAGGTGGATCCAAAGGGGCAAAGAGAAGATACATATAATGTATGTGACAAAAGGAAAGAAAAGTATAAGGTTTGGAAAGGTCAAATAAAATTGTCACTATTTGTAAATGATATGATTATATATGCAGAAACACTCAAAGTATCTACAAATGCATAATTAGAATTAATAAATTGAGTTTAATAAGGTTACTGCATATAAGATCAACAAAAATGAGCTTCATTTCTATATGCTAGAAATTAGAGCCTGAAATTCTGTAAGTTTCTATTTATAATAGCATCAAAATTATAAAATACCTAGGAATAGGTCTATCAAAAGATATATAAAACCTTTATGCAAATGACAACTGTACTGGAAGAAATTAAATACCTAGATAAATGGAGAGAATAAAACTCATTGTTTTAAGCTGTCACTTCTCCCCAAATTGATCAGCAGAGCCAATGTAATCCCAATAAGAATCCCATCAATGTGTGCTAGCGTGTGTGTGTGTGTGTGTGTGTGTGTGTGTAACTTGACAAATAATTCTAAATACTGATATGCAAAAGCAGAGGCTTAAGGACATCCAAGATATTTTAAAAGAAGAATAAAATGTAAGGATTTGCTCTGTTAGATATTAACACTTATTATAAGGCATTCTAACTAAGAAATTCTTGTAGTGGAGCAAAGATCGGCAAATATACTATAGGAATCAAATAAAGAGTACTGTCTGTTTATATAAGGTGCTTGGTTAATTGGATGTCTGCTTGGAAGAAAATGAAACTCGACCCCACCTCACATCCTACACAAAATCAATTCCAGACTGATTGGATATAAACATAAAAGACAAAAAACAAATAAAATTAAAAACAAACAAACAAACAAAAAAACCCTTCACAAACAAGATAATATAGGGACTATGGTCAGGAGATTGGACTAAGGAGAGACTTCTAAAATAGGACACCTGAAGGACTAATCAGAAATAAAAAGGTTATTAAATCTGACTAAATAAAAATTAAGAATTTCTGTTCATTAAAAATACCTTTAAGAGATGAAACAGGAAGGCAGAGAGGGGGAGATAATACGTGCAACAAATAAGTCAACAAAGAGCTCAAAGCCAGAATATATAGAAAACTGTTACAAACGAATAAAAAAAGACAATACAATAGAAAAAAAGTATTTCCAAATGGCCAAAAACAAATGAAAAAGTATGCAACTGCCTCAGTACTCAGGAAAAACAAGTTCTATCTGCAATGATTGATTACTATTCATCCATTGAAATGCTGAAAAGACTGATAACACTAAGTGTTGGATGTAAGCAGTAAGGACGTAAGACAACCAGGACTCTAACATACCCTGCTTACTGGTGGGAGTGTGTACAATTGCTTTGGAAAATCTTTTGAAATAATCTACTAGAGCTGAGCAAACACATACCCTACGATCCAGCAACCACTATTGTGGGTGTTTACCCAAGAGAAATATGTGTATATGTGTACCAACAGACATGCACATGAAAGTTTCCAGGAAAAATTTTTATAATAGCTCTAAGCTGGAAATAGCCTGAATGTCCACATCCAACTAAAATGGATAAATTGTGGCATTGCGTCCAATGAATACTACAACAGTAATGAAAATAAATGAACCACAGTCACACACAACAGCATGGATTAATCTCACAGACATAACTTTGAGCAAAACAATGAACAAATGAATCCCCACTACATGGTTCCCTTTATATAAAGTCTAAAAAGCTGACACGTCTGCACAGATACAGAGAACAAACTAGTGGTTACCAGTGAGGAGCGGGGAGGGACAGTAAAGAGGTGGAGGAGGGGGAGGTTCAAACTAATGGGTGTAAGACAAGCTCAAGGATGTATTGTACAACATGGGGAATATAGCCAAGATTTTGTAAATGGAAAGTAAACTTTAAAAATTGTATAAATATTAAAAATGAAAAGTAAGTTTAAAAAAATGAAGCAGTTTGGCTGTAGAAGCCATGCTCTTAACCACTAAAACAAACAAAAAAACAAATAAATAAGAACTGACAAGGCTAAACCAAAGTGTTTCATGATTCATATTTCATAATAAAATTATAAAGAAAAGTGAGAATGTCATTACCATAAAAGTCAGAGTAACAGCCCCTTTGTGGGGAGCAATAACCATGAGAGAAAGAAAGGGAGTTTCTCTGATGCTAGTAATATTTGAATTTTTTTTAACTCGAATGGTAGTTACTGGTATGCTCACTTCATGGTAATTCACTGAGTTTTCCATGTCCTGTACACTTGTATGTGTGCTATATTTCACAATAAACAGAATAAAAAGGTGGTCTTTTTTCTCCTATTCCATACCTGGCAGAGCATAAAATTCAGGGGGTCCTCTGGCCTTTCGTAGACTAAAGATTCAGTGATCTGCTGAGAGAGAGAGAGTAACTCATCGCATTATGGTTCTGAGCTTAAGTTCTGCGGTCAGGTTATACCTGAAGCAATCTTTTGCGTTAATCTATCATAGCATGTTAAAGAAAGTCATATCTATCTACAAATTACTTTCTTATTACTGATAGTTTTAGGCAAATTAAGGTAAAATGTGGAGGAATAAAAATTTAGTAATAAGTAGTAATGGATATTTTTCTAGTTTCCAAGATCAAATAGGTAGTGAGAAAGTTTTGGAGAAAGTTTTTGTTTTGAGAATTGTGACTTTAATAGACTGGGAAATCAATAAATTACTTTCTTTGAAAAATAGTCAAAGAAAAAATTGTTGAATACAATTTTTAAAACACTATGATTTTACATAGAACTTTCCTTCTGAGGCATTTGATCCTAAAAGGTGAAAATGATG